CACAAAATTACCAATTCATATGACAAAAAAAAACCGTTATGTCACAACATATTAATACATCTGTTTGTGAGTTAATGATTTTGACATCTTTTTGGCATCAATTGTTTGATGAAGTTAAGAAAAAAAGATTTAATAAATGAAATTAACCACAAAAACGTATTTAAATTCAGCTCGTCACGTGTCAATTTAAGTCAGATCTTAATAGATTTCGAAGAAAAATACTTCTATCCAGAAGTCTTTAATTAAAGAATTTTTTTTTACTCTTTAAAATTTTTTCCTGTTCCTTTTCCTTTTTTTTCCTGGAATCTCCAGCACAATTTATTTTCCTCTTCTGTCACAAGTCTCGTGCATTTTAAGTCATTTTTTTTTTAAATAAAGTCTTCAAAGTTTTTATGCGGACGGTAACAGATTCATTTTTTTTCTGTAGACTTGTTAAAAAAGATTTTGAGAAGATCTTCTTCGTAAGGTCTTAAAACTAATTATATCTCATTGAATCTTTTCTTTATTGAAATTTCCTAATTATCTTTATAAAAGGGGCATAATGGCATCTGAAACGCAAAATTATTTGTAATTAGTCTAGGCACATATAAATTTGATACCGTGAATAAATAATTTTCTGTATTTAAAATATATATTGATAATTCAATACCTAATGCTTCTAATGATGACTTTCATACGCTGAATTTAGAATCTAGTAGCCGTGAAAATGATGTCTATGTATTATAAAGTCGATATATGACCTTTCTTCGAGACTACTTAGAATGACATATATATATATATATATATAGATATAGATAGATAGATAGATACTTCCACAATGTGTAAAAGAAGTTTAACAGTTTCTACATTTATTAAAATTGCTACTTGTCACGCAGATGTATGGGGTATATTTGCAAATCGTAAATATACTTGAGAAATTTATAGAAAATGCAAGAAATTAAAAATGATATGAAAAATTGTCATAAAAGGCATTGCATAGTGGCATAATAATTCATTTATCCAATTTACATGGGCATTTGATTGATGGGCGTAAAAAGACAAAATTTTATGAATAAAAATAAATATAGAGGCACGCATAGAGGTACAAATATAGAGGTTCGCATAGCGAACTTGGCAGGGTAAAAATTGTGAACAATACCAACCAAAAAAAATTAACATAAAACTTATATATTTTGACTATGCGAACGTAGACTTCAATAATTATCAGTAGTATCAATCAAAAATTATCAGTAGTATGCTTACGAATAAGATAGAAATTCATAAAAATCTTATGAATATTTTAAACAAAATGCTTACGTTATGCAGTATTATTTGCTAAAATATTCTGCAGTGAGGGATAAATTATCTGATGATTTCAATAGTTTAGGAGAAATAAAATTTTAAAATTCTTCATTTCAAAATGCTCTATTAAAATGTAATGAAAAAGTTTGAATCTAACTACTAAGAAAAGTGAAGGGGCTTCAATGATTAGTAATTAATTTGCGTATAACCAGTATTTAATCTGTATAATTAAACATTTTTGTGCAGATTTGAAGCTTTTGTTTTAAAAACACAAGAGACAATCAAAAAATGTGTCTCCAATAATTTATTTCAAAGAGTATTTGAAGTTTTATAATTCTCAATGTTCTATTTATTCGTTTTTTGAATTTTTTTTTGTTGTGCAGTGAATATGGTAGCAAGCATATATACGCATGTTAGTGCCCATATGTATTACCCTATCAATGAAACTCGAAAACCAAATTGTAATTTGGGTTACTTATTATTTTGCGTATTATTATTAAAACTATTATTATTAGTGTAATTTTAATTTTTTATTTTAAGGCAAAAGGATTTTTGTACCATTCTAAACATCATGTTGAAAATGACAAAATATTTCGATATTTAAAATACGTTTTTAAATTATTATTTACGTTTTTCGTTTACTTAGTTTAAATTACTACGTTAGTTTTTACGTTTGACCATTACGTTTATACAATTTTATCATTAAACGTATTAACGTATTAACTTAAAATGAATTCGTTGAAATGTTCGATATTCATACGATTAAATGATAAATCAGTAAATACACTAGTTTCAAAGTATCAAAAAGTGCGTAAAGAAGAAAAAAATCTATTAAATTTTTGCGACATGTTTTATGTTTACAATAAACTAAATAATTCATAGACAATTCATTCTAGAGTCATTTTTTGTTTTAAATAAATCAGATATTATTGTTTTATGACATCACGCTTTCTTATGAAGAATTGCTTATAAAAATGGCAATAAAAATGCAACAAATGTTCAATTTATTAAATTTCTTCCATCAAAATTTAATGAATAACGCCATTCACATCAGTTTTTTGAAACATATGACGTTTCGAAAGTCTCGTTTACACATTTCGAGCCTAATCGCTGAATAGTTAAATATTATTAAACATTTATTCATTATACAGAATAGTTTAAAATAAATTGTAGTGTATATTTTATGCTTTTCCTTTCGCACGAAGAACGTTAAAAATAACAATGAAAAATAGCTGATGCATTTTTGACAGCATCACGCGATTTTGACAGCGAATAAACTATTAGTAAAAAAATATAGCCTAAACATCTGCTTTTTTCCATAATAGTTATTTTGATTGTATATACATACTTTATATTGAAATAAATTTGATGGATTTTTATTGAAAGTATTATTTTTTTGCATTTCAGAATTAAATAAAAAATGCAAATCAATTCTGAGATAGCGACAAAAAATTATACGCTTTCTTACGCCTCCATGTTAGCTGTTCGGAAAAATTTTCATTTTGTTTAATTTTTAAAATTTTGGCTCTCAGATAGTTACAAAATGATAGACACATGCCTCTACTTTTTAAACTTAATTCAGTTCTACTTTAGGTGAATTTGTGAAGACAAATGTGAGAATAAAATGCGAATTGAATTTATTTAAAAGATATGACGAATAAATTATTGCAATGCTTGATTTAAATAGGATAATTTCGCAAGAACGTAAAAAAATTAAATGAATTTTTAAGATTATGATTTGAGGTATGCTTAATGAATAAAGTAATAATAATGTTAAAAAATATTGAGAGAAAATTGTGTATGAAATTGCGAGATCAAAATCAGATGTAGAAAGTAAAAAGGTGCATTAAAATTATTTCAGTTTTTTCTGAGTTATTTGTGTCACCAATTCACATTTCCCTACAAAAGTATATTGTGTTATTGTATCGAAAAAAAATAAACAATTTGCTCGTAAATAAGAATGACAATATTAACGATAATTTTTGATTAAGATCTTAATAAACTAAGTCGTAAAACATTTAGGAAATAAAATAGTTGTCAAATGCTATTCTATCTTGAAAAAATGATTTGAAAATGAAAGAATCAATGGACTTTTTATTTAAGGGCAAGACAATTGATAATAAAATTAGAGTGCATTGACTCCGTAGACAAATAAAAAGTGGTTGACCTATTGAATAAGAGAACGGAAGAACCGAATTAAGGACATACTCGTGATCGCAGTATTCGGGAGATGGTTATTTTTAGGAGTTATGAATAAATTATCTAATTTGGCTGGTTATAAAATGTGAATTTTACGAACCTTATTAATACAGAACTGCATCCCATTCGGTTAGTATCTAATATTCAACGGCCTTTAAAGTTAAAATATTATCAACATGAATATTTTTTAAGAGTAAAAACGTGTAAATAGGTTGAATGAATAGATTAAATATAATACAAAAAAAGCATTAACTAAAATATAAATAAATAAATGACTTTTGGTTCAAATATAAATATAAACATCTTTACGCATTTCTTTCCGATTGCAATTGATGCTAAAAGTGGGGACATGTACTCTTGCGTTTGTGGACAATATTAAAACTTAATAATTTACAAGATATGACTTTTGGCAAGCATTGTATCGCGTCCTAGGGTGACCCAGGTGCAATACCCAGCGGTGGTTGGTTGATACGAATTCTGATCCTGGCTCACAGCAACCACAGTGCTGATGTAAAATATCCTCAGTGGTATTTCATGGGTTAATTGTTGCATGTTTACGTAGTTTTCCTCACCTTGTAGCGCACATGCGGGTTAGTTTCATCAAAAAAGCTTCCACGAAGGCCAGATTCTCGCAATGCGTGATCCAGGAGTTCCCTGGTATTCTAAGAGTGGGGTTCTAAATAATAAGGATGCGCAGTTGTACATTGATGGTTGTAAACTTAGAATTAATTTGACTGTACAACGCTGATTATTAAATAAAATAAAATTAGAGAAATGCTGTAATTTTATAATTAATGAAAAAGCGATCGGCTGTTTTTTTTAACTGGGTGCCATTGTAAATTATGTATTGCTTTACTGTCTATCAACATAGCGAAGCAAAAAAGAAAATTTATTTGACCTATATANTAGTCGGGGCTACAATAAAATAATATTTGACTCAATACATAAGAAATATAACACAAGACTTTATTTTTATAAGCATATTTTGTTAAGTCTTATATGCCATGTTGGCTTAATTGGAGGCACTGCCATGCATTATAAAATCGTTTGCCATAAAATATAAGTTTTCGTTTTATTAACGTTTGTAATATCGTATCATGTTTGCTGCATAAGATTGCATAGTACTATTTTTAAAACGCATTTCATTTTATATCACATTTCTGAGCACGCAATATTTTCGTAACTAATTTTGCAATATTTTTTTTTACATAAACACGCATGTTTCTGTCGTTCGTGTGTTTCGCTTGATTCCATTAACCACATTTTGTTTTAAGGCCTCGATAGCCTGGTTGGTAGGGCACTGAGCCCATGCCCAAGCGGTCGTGGGTTCGATCACGGCAGGCCGAAGACTCCTCGTGTAGTAAATGGTGACTGATGCATGTTAAATCTGCCGAATCATAGAGTCCATCATGTTCCCAAAACAAATTATACCTCTGGGGGTACTGGTCTAGGAGTTTCCTTGTCTTTTGGATAGGTTCAAAATTACGAGGCTACGGGGTTGAACAATAGTAGTCGTAAACTCAAAAACTGGGTTGGCTGTGAAACGACGGATATAAAAAAAACTGATTTTGTTAGGATTATGTGTGAGTCAAATTGGGTATATGTTTGTATCGTTATCTGTCGCGTTAACTACAATCGGCAATGAGCCAAATAGGTTTTAAATTTGCAATTTCTTTTGAAAAGAACATGAAGAGGTTTTCCTGGATTTGGTTACGAGTTTTGCACTCTGAGTTATCCCTTTCTGAGATTTTTTTTTTTAGTTTCTTGTTGGCCACTGCCCGTAACTTGCGAACGGTAATAATAAACGGGTAATAGCACAAATTTATGTGCTGTAGCTTAAGGCATTTGCCCTACATCACCTATAACTATCTTAGTTTACTCATTCATTATTATAGTGCATATATAGCCAATATGCCTATTCCAATGAAATGCATAATATGGAATACATGAGAAAGGTACAAGAGAAAAACAATTAATGCGCAAGAATAAATTTGTTCTTACCTGTCCAGAGATAGCGACGAGGCGGCGACAGCACCCTGGTAAAGCCTATCCTCGACGTTGTGTCTGGTCAGTTCAACAACACTTTTATTATTTGTTTTATTTGCTGGTTGTGCCCCTTTGTTGGGTGTCCCTTGCGAAGATGTTGGTACTCCGACTTGCAAGGGCTCCAACTCGTCTTTGGCCTCCTTGGCGGCGGACCTCTTTCGCCAAAAGAGGTAGCACAGCGCCAAGGTGACGGCCATCGACGCCAGGGCTGCCAAGGATCCCAGCACCGATGCCAACATCACCCCGCCCTCGACGCTGAAAGAGAAAAGAAAATTTAGTTCGGAATTGCAATGTGCAACAACACAGAGTACTTATAAATACTAAAGCTAAACTCAGTGGCGCGACAGCTCATAGAGGGCCAAGGCCTACTGTGCCCATCTCACTTTTCTTAACCTTGGGCTCTGGGGTGCAGGAGCAGATGTTCCGGTCAGGTGGTCAGCCAAACGTGGAACCCCCAGTGTTTAGTTCCCAAGCATGCTTGGTACTCATTCATCGACCCACTGAAGGGATGATAGGCTGAGTCAACCTTGCCCGGCCCGAGGATCGAACCACCTGTGGCACGACAGCGCAAAGCGCTACCGCTCGGCCACCGGACGTCGTATTTATAAATAAGTAAAGACAAAACTCATGATTGGAATGTGTCAATTATTTTGCACCAGTTTGCGCAGAAAGCAATTGACGCATTGTTGTATCAGTTTTTACCTGACGACAGAAACATTCAGAAGTTAATAACAAAAATAAATGGAATACTTAGATGAAAATAAAATGTGGAACACCCGTGCAAAGAGTTAGAAAAATATTAACTTAGCATCCCGTATTGGGTCTTGGAGATTAACTCTCTATAACTTTGTGGCCATAGGACACCGTGGCGGCAATGCGCTCCGCATTATGCATCAATTGGCTTTATAAATTTTCCTGAGACTTGTCTCAGACCAAAGGTCTCAGATTGAGACCGAAAGTCTGAGGTTGAGTTACGGCAGTTACTTGTCTAAATAGTTGAAAATTATTTATTATAGTCAGGGAAATATGTACCAGGATCAATAAGAAACGTTTTTTATTACAAATGTTTTGGAGTATTTTGACATGCACGTATAGAAAGTGGGATACCATTTGGAAAGCTCACTGTAAGGTCAAAAATGTAAAAAGAATAAGTGATGATGTAGCTTCAGAATGTTGTCACACTTCTAAAATTCCTAACGCACTTTTTGCCACTTTTTTGGCAACATATTATTTTGAAAATGAAACATAAGTTTATTCATTGTTTGGTAACAAAATCGTTGCTTTCTCTATTCATTTTTACAGTTGAAAAATGTACCGAAAAAATAAATATCAGGTAAAAATAAAATAAAATAATCATGGTTGTACCATTTTCATAAAATGATTAAATACTTTGAAAATGTATAATTTTGGCAATTTTTTACTCTGTTAAATTATGCATGATCCTCTACGAAAGTCTACAGGTTTCTACGAAACATTAAGTGTTAAATACAAAGTGAAGGAAAATAAATAAGAAGTAAACACTAAATTTGCAAGGAAAAAAAGATAAATATTTTAACTTACTGACTCCTTTTAATTTAATGTTTCTTTTTAATTATTATCTAAACTTAGATTTAAAAATCACAAATTTCATGAACTCACAAATAAATACTTTAGCATAGCCTGCAAAACAATGAAACTTATTTTAAACAATATGTACTATATTTCAATGCATCCTATCCAGATATTTCAAAGTTACGTCCTTTTGATAGCAAAATTTGTATTTTCCTGAAATGCCACGAAAACATCAAAGGTATTTTCGGAAACGTCAGTTAGAGTATTTCAAAAATATGCCTGGTTGAGAGTTTCAATATATAAATTTCTATTATTTTAAGCTCTATCCCTAGGAAATAAATTGCCACTCTACGGATGGAATAAAAAACTCAAAATATGCTTAGCTAACATAAAACATTCCGAACCCAATGCGAAATTCTTCCGTCACATGCCTGTCATAGTTACAGTGACTTCAAAAAATTGACAAGGATGTGCATTAAACATAAAAAAGTTAAAAGTTACTTTCCATCCTTTTCCGTAGAGATTTTTTTGTCATTTAGAGGAATAATTCATTGAGAATTTTTAAAGTACATTAAAAATTGATATTATGAAACTGTTTTATAAATATTTACGGATGCACAAGTAATGAAATTAACTGTAAAAATAAATTTAATTTCATATTTTATAAAATTGTCTTTTTTTTACTTTAATATTTATTATTGTCATAATTGTCATATATAATTATTATTGTCATATTATTGTCATTTATTATTGTCATATTATTGTCATAATATATAATTATTGTCATGATGATTTTTCATTTGCATATTCTAAATAGTTATAAATACCTGAATCTATTTTTCTTTGCATAACTTACATGAACTTCTATTTATTCCTCTACTATTATAATAAGTAAATTGTCAGTATTATGACACATAAGATACATTAAAAACTTTTACAAATTGGACGTAATTTCGTAGACGTCCTTTCGTAAATGTTAATATTTCGAGAGTGTTCGTTAATATTCGTAAGTGCTCGATAATATTTCGTAGGTGTTTTTACTGAACATAACTTTCGAACACGAAAGCTTATTCAAAATGTATGCAAGTCCTGTACACAATACTGACAGCGAATAATTCCAATAAATAAATTGATCAAAATGTGTGCTTAAAAAAGGTACAATTTAATAAATAGATTTTTTTAATGAAAATCAGGGTTTGGTTTTTGACATCAAAAACTGATTTTTGACATGAAATGTCAAAATCCTCTCGAGCTGTTATTAAATTGCTGACATTTTTCAAATTCATAAACATGGGAATAATTAATTACATCAATGCTTGAATTATAATTTATGATTTATAGTATATTTCAAGAATAAAAAATAGAGTAAAATTATTAACTGCTTTTTCTAAATACATAGTAGGTACTATTATAAATTAAGATTAATAATATTTGCCATATTATCACTATTCCATCTCAACTCATAATCATTACATGTATGACATGATGGTTAAAACCAGATAAAACCATCAATTGTCAAAAACGTGCCAGTCCTAAACATAGTAATATTCATACTAATATCAGTGACATTGTGAAATATTATATTGACAATTTACATTATAATGACATTAATTTTGAAAACAAAAGGTTTCACAGATGAATAAATTTTAGCTTTGCATACGATATAAAAACAAAACAAACTTTCCCTTTTAATAATTTACATGCCTCTAGTAAGAAATTCGATATTTCTAAAAAGTATTAAATCAAAATAAGCATCAAAATAATGAGAGAAAAACATAACAATTAACAGTTAAATCAGTTTATTAAATTTCACTTCATTTCTCACGGGAAATCCTAAATTTTCCCCTTTTTTAAACGCGAGTTCAAACTTAAATTCTTACGTTATTAATTAGTTATTACGTTAATTAATGCGTGCTTAATTTAATAAATTTATTTTTAAATTTGTAATCTTATTTTTATTAAGTGCATTTTCAAAATTCAAAATCTTACTTTAATCAAATTCATTTTTAAACTCTAGATTCTTAGTTTTTTAATGCATTAATTTTATAAATAGTATAAGATGTATTTAACTATTTTAAAATGACAAAATATTTATCCTATCCATTAATAAAAGTGGACAAAGACCATTAAGATTTTAATAGTCTTTGTCCATTTTTATTAACAGGTTATTCTTACTGTTGCGTCTTTTCTAACATTAAAGAATAAGTCAGTTTTATAAATTATTATTCGCCCTAAAGTAATTTATATCGTTTATCTCAACTTCAAAAAAAATAATAAATAAATAAAAAAACCGCATTATGAGAAATAATTTTAAGTTGCAAATGATAATGATAATATCCTGGCTTGCATGTGAGAAATGATAGCGGAAAGTTACAGATTTAATGATTTAAAAGCCATAAAACTATTTTATGGGTTTTATTGAGCATCCTAAAGACGTTTAAAATAAAAAAAAAGCTACCACCATTAAATATAAAAAAATGCTGCTACGGTGTAATGCTTTTACTTTAGCGTACTATATAGCTTTAATAACTATGAAATACAAATCTGTATCAAAGTCGAACCGATGCTTATTCAGGAAAATTTTATATTCCTTATAAGTATTTTATGAGATTTTAACGGCCAAAGGGGCTTTAAATTTATATATATTTAAATATATTTTTTCTTTATTTCATCTTGATAAAGATATAATGACACAAATGTACCAAACTGGCTGCATAAAGACACATTTAAAATAGTTTCAGTTTACAAAAAAAGTTCTTTTTTATGATCTAATAAAAAATAAAGATTAAAAGCTCCTTAACTAAACTGACATAAAATGAATCATTAATATTTTTAAAAAAAATTATATTTCAGAAATTGATAATAAATAGTAGTTTAACGAAGAATAATTGTTATTATCACCTAAGTTTATTTCATAACTACAAACCTTACATAGTTTTTGAAATGCAAAAGTAACGCACACTCGTTTATCTATATATTTAGTGAAACTAGACAGCAAAGTAGATAAGAAATTTAATCATTTAGCTAATTTTGTGTTGATATTACTTTAATATAAAAATCATTTTAATATTGAATATCATTCTATATCGATAACTAAATCTACAATAAAATCATTTTATATCGATAACTAAATCTACAATAAAATCATTCTATATCGATAACTAAATCTACAATAAAATTATTTTATATCGATTGCTAAATCTACATTAAATACAATAAAAATACTACCCGCTTGTTTACATTTCTAAACACATTCATAATTAAATTATTTTAAATTACCAACACAATTTTAGTGGTTTATAAAAACGAGTAATCATATACGAGTTAAACAATTACTTTTCCACAGTTTAGGTATTTTTACTGATCCTTGTAATATAAAATTGAAGCTTTTTTTTGAATTTCTATCTTCTACCATGAAGAATAATACTTCCACTCTGACTATCCATTCTGACGTCATCGTAACATTTTGTTTTAAGTTTTTTCTCGCCTAATGGTCAGCAGCGCCCTCAAGTAAAAGTGAATAAGATTTCTATTAAAATGTAAATTTATGTTAGAGTCTTGAAGGTTTTCGATATTGTGCATTTGTGCAGGAAGATAAAGTTTTTAAATCAATTCTAAATATATTATTCGTAAAATTCGTTCTGTCATATATTTATTTGCACTCGTTTATTTCCTTCTATCAGGTATTGAAATTTACTAAGAGA